CGGAAACAGAACACAGTAAACCTGAACGTTGTTTGTTGATAGTGTAAATAGTGGTGCGGATAAATTCTGATAAAAAAAATAACTTCTATTAAACAAAAATCTGGATAAACTGTATCACAAAAAGCGTGACACGGAGAAGACAAGACGATTTTAAACCTTCACAGTACGACATCTAAGAGACCAGCAGTATTTCAGATCCTCAAATTTTTTTTCCCTAAGACTTTTAACTTTCTACTTTCACAGCTATCGAACTATAAGTTCAATTGGGATTCCGACATCCGTTACAAGTCGAAACACAAAAAAGTCATACGAGTTGATACCAGAGTTCTGGCCTGGCAGGAGATCGTGTTCTCAAGTTTTAGTGGATTTCAGCTCTCAAGTTTTCGTAGATTTGGATCCCACACTACACACACACACACACACACGCACACACACGCACACACACACTCATACACACACACACAAGCGCAGACACATGGCTTCACTTTAATGCACTTTTATTTGTGTAAGTGCAAGAAAATAAACGCTGCAAATAAATTCTTTACTAAAGCAAAATTTAACTGTGACTTGATTTCTAGCCGCTTCGAAAATATTTACATAAACTTTGTCTCCCCCACACAATTTTCCATGTTTTTTTTCATGCTCAGACATGCCCAATCAACTCAAAGAGGTGACTCTGTCAACTCTGTTATTTCATCCACAACCTGAAAATTAAATACTACGGTATAATGATGGGTTATGCTAAATCACACTCTAAGCAGGAGGAAAAATCCATATGAATCAATGTTTGATATTACACCTGTGTGCTCATAAATTGTGGAATTAGTAAGAAAATGGGCTTCTCAGCAGAAGATGTAACAGGTCAGTCAAAAATTTTTTCAAAAATTCTAAAAGAACTTGACTGAAAGAAAAAGTTACTAAAAAATCATGGGGGAGGGGGAGAGAGGTAAAAATTATTTTACAGAAAAGAATGAAACTAAAAAGGGTTGTTTTGGCTCATTATGTCATATGCGTTCTTTTTCAGCATCATATTTGTATCTCGTCACCATGATTGTGTGTTTTTGCCGGAAATAAAGGGAGGAGATAGAAAATATAGCGAAAATTTTGAAAGAAGAAAAGTGAAAGTAACTGATAAGAACTGCAAGGAAATGGAAATTTTTCTTCATTACCTCTCGTGTCACCTATTTTTGCCATTAAAGCGTTGCAAAAACCGCTGAGATTAGAGGCATTAAAAAAAGAAATTAAAATTTTGCGATTTTACCTCTTGGTCACGAATGTTTGCTGGGTGTGAATAATGAGATTCAGAACTCAGAAGGAGAAAAAAAAAGCGCTTGCTTTCTCGCAACACGAGATATAAAAGAGTTATCAAAAATGAGAAATAGGCTAGCTCACTTACTTGCATAACGACGAGTGCTTTGAGAATTGCACTGTCAAAATCTGCCAAATCAATTGGTTGCAATTCATCAGATTCGCTACCGCTATAATTTAGTGTGCTCAGCAATCACCAGCGACATCAAAAAACGGTTAAAATCTTGTCAAGTACTTCTGTCAGGAGAGTCAGTGGGCTAATAAGCCCTTTCAAACTTTGAAATAAGCAGAAGCTGGCTGATCATTAGGCAGTGAAGCATTGGTCAAAACAATAGGAAAGTTACCAGCTACGTATCTGGAGATTCAGTGAGTGAACCGCAACTGATCGAAGTAACTTTATTGTTAAAATAACAACTTAAAAAGAGTTCTTAAAAAGTGCCGATGAATTTTTTACTGATACATGTCGGCGTTAGCTCTTTGTTGTTTATTTTTAAAGCGTCCGTACACGGTACTCAGGCGTCCGCGGGGGATGATATGAAAACGAGAGGGTCACGCATGATATGAGCACATACTCCCAAAGTTTCAGCCTTCTGTCTTTTCTTGTTCCCGAGTTATCAATTTTTTTGATGGAAGAAAGGCCAGTACCGGACGCTATTATGTCCGAGGCGGGGGATTTGCTTTCATTTTGCTCCTCCTGGCCTCTCCATTAAATACACCCACACAAAGGTATCCCAATGGATTATCTCTTTCTTCAAGTTTTTCATACCAGTGCGCAATGTCCAGTTGCTATGGATAAGGATGGCAAGTAGCTGCACTCAGCGAGCTTCATCCCTCTCTTCTACTGTCGCGGAAGTTCCGTGAAAAGCCGGCAAAAGAAGTATGCAAATGAGCATGCAGCAATATATGTATGAGCTCCAAATTTTATGTACGGAGCACTAGGTGACTTAGATGTTAAAGAAAAAAGCGTTTCAAAGTTACTCCTGGTAGGCTAAAAAGTTAATCTGTGCTGCAGCTTGAGGTTTGTGCGTCAGAGGCTGCAGCATCACAGAGTGATAAACCGGAAAGACCATACCCACGAGGAGTGCTGCGTTGAAAGCAGTGACGTAAGGAAGTGAAACTTTGTTCCTCACGAAAGCGATGCACCTGTGCACTAGATGCCGGGGGGCCATGAATCATAAAATTTTTTATTTTCCCCAATATATTTTGGTAGCTGAAAATCATTAACCTACGTCTTTAACTGCGCATCTAGCAACTTTCACAGCTGCTTTGAGCAATGCCATCTGGTCGCGAGCATGACGTCTTTTCCTGCCTTCTAGTGCATCAGCTTTCTCAAGTAGCAACAGTTTCTTGACCGCTTGCTTATACATTCTTCATATAAGTGTACTGGTCAGGAAAGTGAATGGATATAAGTGAGTGGTCAAGGAACGCCCACAACTAAGTGACCTATCAAACATGTAATAACATGGGAGTGACCAAAAACAATGTAAAATCCCTTCGACCGGTAGTTTCCCCTCTCTTGCAGGAAACGAACGAGTTATATTAGTTACTGAAACTCGAAGATGAGAGAGCGACACTCGACCAGCCTCCGGAAAAAATCGGATGCCGCAGTTGCGCACGTACAGCATTTTACATGAG